GTACGATTGCTGAAACTACTGCTGCTACTCCTGTCTGCGACTACGCCAAAGGAGACCAATGATGCTACTAGACTTGTTGCGCCAACACGTACAACTCCAACACCGGCTGCGACTGGTACTACCACAGACTACTGGACTACCTTCCTACACGCCTGCAGACGGCCCAATGTACCTGCATGCGTTTTCCCTCCTTCATCCCCCAATCACTACCAAACAATCGTTCGCATCCTCCTCATCCTGATCCTTCTCCTCCATGTTCTCCCGTCTTCTCCCCATGATCCTCATCTTCCTTTTTCTCCACCTCCGCCTGCACCTCTGGCTGGTGGAAGGGCACAAATGTCCAAACCCATTGGGCGAAGCCAGTGCGGCATCAAGAAGCACGGCCCTCCGACCTCCGCGCTTCCCCCCCAGAAAAAACGGAAAATTGTAGGGCACACCGTTTGACACTCGCGCGATGCCCGAGGCCCACCGCGTCACATTACAGCAGGGCGGCCCAGGGGGGGGGGGGCAGATGTCGCCTTGATTCGTCAATGCCATGTTGTCTGGGAGCGATAGGTGCAGAGAAAGTTGTGTTGGACCGTGTTGGAAATGTAGGGCCACGGCGTCATCATGTTCCAGTTCGCGATGGCCATGTGCATGCTGTCGGTATTGGTAGCGCTGCTGGTGAATATCTGAGGACGTTGCTGGCGCAAGTAGCGCAGGTGGTACCAGTCGGTGGCGTCGAAGTTGTAGAATGTTGTGCATACGTTGGGATTGATGGTCGATGGCGACGGTGGTGATGCGCATGGCTGTGCTATTGGAAATGTGGACGCACTGTTCTGATAATGACAATGGTGCCAGCGACAGTGTCAGTCTTTATGGTGCTGGTGAATTGGACTGGGGAGACTCGAATATGCTCTTTGCTCTTCGGCTTAGCCGAAACCAACCGCCCTCTCCGTCTTCGGCCGCTGGGTTCGTGCGCCACCCAGCGTGACACGCGGATTTTGCGCGTCACGGCGCTGCGTTCCCAGTGAGACACGCTAAAACAGCGTGTCGCACGCGCGAGCGGCGGCAAGGAGTCGCGTGCAAACCCCTGGCGTGACACGCAGATTCTGCGTGTCACGGCTTTTGGAAGTGGCGGGATTGAGGCACCGTTTTGTTGCGGGGGGGGATGGAGGGGGCTAATACACTCGACACTGGCGGCAGTGCCCCTGGAAGGGGACACTAGAGACCGCGGAATGCCATGAGATTTTGAATGGAGCAGGCTGGACGTCACCACCCACCCCTGTCACGATCGACATGCGTCGCTATCGTCGCGGTCGCGGTCGTCCTCGTCACCGTCCTCACGAGCCTTCTCCGGGGCCATCTCGTGAAACGCGGAACTGGCGTGTCACGCGATAGCCAATCGCCGAATTTGTCTGCACAAGCGACGCGCGGGCCCCAGGTGCAGACCTTGAAGGCCTCCGAGACCCCCTGACCCGATCACAGGCCGACCAGTAGCCGAGCGCTAGCTAGCGCGGTGCTCGTGGAACCCTCGCTCTCCACTCCGATGGAAGGGAACCCCCTCGCCTTCCAGACGCAGTCCATCGAGGCAACTCTTAGACTCACATTCGCTGGATTGATCTATGTCGGAAGTTTTGGGGCGAGCTCGAAGCACAGCGGAGACACCCCACTGGTAAATCGGTTTCGGTTTTGTGTTCGTGAAGTGCGTGCGGGCGAGGCGAAGCTGCGTGGGCGGGCGGCGGGCGAGAGGAATGCACCCGTCGTGGCTGGGGCGGAACTGAGCTCAATGACTCTACGCCTCCCGGTTAGCCGGCGGTGGCTCCCGAATGTCCCGTCGGTGTCCCGTGGTGTCCCGTGGCGCGGTGCCCCTTTGTGTCCCGTGGTGTCCCCTGGCGCGGTGTCCCGTGGTGCCCCGTGGTGCCCCGTGGTGTACCGTGGTGTCCCGTGGTGTCCCGTGAAGTCGATTGTGAGATCGATAGTGGGATCGATGGGCAAATCGATAATGAGATCGATAATGAGATCAACTGAAAAACCAATAGATAGTAAGAACGCCAGGTGACGGAATTCGATAATGAGATCGACCAGCAGGCAAGCGGCTAGAACAGGCGAGTGGTAACGCCAGGCTCTGCCAGCGAACTCCTGGCCTCAGCGCCCACTCTGCGAGCATGGCTCTCGCACGCGTCTCCCACGGTTCTCTGTGGGCGGCCAGGCCGCGCTGCCGCTCCCAGATGGTAGGCGAGTTGAACTCATAACAAGGCATCTTGACCACATCGATTGCGGGGCGGTAGCGTGAAGCCGGTCATCATGACAGACTCATCATGATCATGATCGCCAGCAACATCACAAACAACATCAACACGATCGTCATCACCATCACTCCGATCATCACCACTACTATCGCACAACAGCCAAGACTTTCGACCATATGATGTGGCACAGGGTAGCATTTCGATAATGAGATCGATTGATGGAAAGACTGATCGGTAGATAGTGGGGTCGACCGTGAGTCCGATAATGAGACCCATCGATCGGAAATTGCTAGGTACATAATAGTGTCCCGTCGTGTCCCGTGGTCTTGTATGCTCTTCGCGTGTTCTTCTAAGGAACCAACGAACGAGCAAATCAATGCCACCTGGTTCCGTTGGTTTCCCCGGTGCTTTGGTGTCTCGTAGTGAATCCGACTGCGAGTTCGATAGTGAGATCGATAGTGGGGTCGAACGCGAGATCGATAGTGAGACGATGCACAGATCGGGAGTGCGATTCAGTCGATAGTGAACTAAATAGTGAGATCCTTTGTGAGATCGGTAGATAATGAGATCGACAGATAAAGGGAGATCAATCGTGGGATCGATAGTGCGGTCGGTAGATAGCGAGATGTCCCAAGGTGTTTCGCGGTGTCCCGCGAATTTGCATGTTCTGAATCTGTTCTCCTGAAAGAAAGAGCGCGCGGGTAAACAAATACCACCTGGTGCCGCTGGTTGCCCCGGTGTGTAATGATTGATGTCCCGATCAAAATATACAAAGGCAAACATATTCCTCTGTACAAAGGCAAATATACAAAGGCAAACATTCGTAGTACGTCGTAAAAACAAAAGGGAGCGGGCAAATAGATGCCAACTAGCTCCGCTGGTTGCCCCGTTGATTCCCGCTGGATGCCCCAATGTACAAGTAGGTGGACAAGCAGATTGCCCTGTATGTTCGTAGTACGCTCAAAGAGCAAGAGGGCGCGGGTAGCCAAATGCCACCAGTTTTCGTCGGTTGCCCCGATGATCCCCGATGATCAACGATGGCATCAGGACACCATCAGTTGTGCTCCGTGGTGCCCAGCTGGTTTCCGCCGAATCCGATCTGACCCCAATCGCAGACCGAAAGCTGACCTCCCCTCAGCACAACCTCCTTATCACCCAAGGGGTGGTCGTATAGGTATATAGATGTTTGTACGAATCGATGTGCATAGACACGCATATACACACATATATATATATATATATATATATATATATATATTTATATATACATACATACGTGTACACATTTATCTATATACACACGTCGGATTTGCGCGTCTCTCAAGCTGCTCGCAAAGTCTGCGTGCAAAGCGTGTGTGAAGCCCACACGCACAAATTTGGCGTATCACGTGGCCTCGAGCCTCGAACGGACCCCTGGCTCCAACAGATCCGTCCGAGCAGGCCCCGGGCGGGAGTTGCTTGTTGCGCCGAGGCGAAAATCTTCGTGGCACGCAAGTTCTGCGTGCCACGCGTCCGAGCCTCCAACAAATCCGGACAAGCATCTTGAGCGCCAAGCCGCGTGACACGCGGGATTTGCATGCTGTGCCGAACTGAGCGCCTTCGTGACACGCACATGTTGCGTGCCACGCGGCCCGAGACTCCAACAGACCCCAACCCCCACGCATCGTCCGAAGCCCCGGGCCGCCTGACGCGCAGGTTTTGCATGTCACGTGTGCGCGCCACGCAGATTCTGCGTGTCGCGCCCGAGTCAGCGGCCTGAAGCGTCGAACTGACCCCCAGCCCCATGCCGCGTGATATGCAAAAATCGCGTGTCGCTCAAACTCGGACGCCTTCGTGACATACAAACGTTGCACGTCACGCGGCCTGGGGTCCTGACTTGACCCTAGCCCCCAAGCATCCGTCTAAGGCCCTGGGCCGTATGATACGCAGAACGTGCGTGTCACGTCTAGCCGACACGCAGAATATGCGCGTCACGCACGCGCTGGTGGCCAGGACGAACAGACTCCCAGATCCCTCCGCGGCCCTAGGCCGTGTGACACGGAGGATTCTCGCATGGCGCAGACGCGAACGCCTTCGAGACGCGCAAAGTCTGCTCGTCACGTGGCCTGGGACCTGCAGCGGACCCAGGCCCGCACACAGCTGACCCCGTGCCCGGGGCCGCGCGACACGCAGGACGCAGGATGTGCGTGCCACGGCTAGGGCTCATGATCGCGATCACGTGGTCCCCAGACACCAGGGCCCCTCCCCTCCCCTCTTTATCCCCCACGCCGTACGCCTCCACATCACCACCACCATCACCAACACAATCATCTGCGTCACCACCAAAAGCACCAAACCGTCTTTCTATTCAAATGTCCCTCCGCGACCTCCTCCTTCGATCTCTCACTCCTCCGTCTTCTTCTCTCCTCTCCCCTCCTCTCCCCTCCTCCTTCGACTTCCTTCCTCGGCGTCGTCCTCCCTCTCCGCCTCTTCCTCCTCCTCTTCCTGCCTCCCTCCTCCTGCCTCCCTTCCTCCCTCTCGCGCCTCTCCCTCCACCTCACTCACCCATCCCTCCTCCTCCTCCTCCTCCTCAGCCTCCTGCTGCTGCTCCTCCTCCTCCTCCGCCTCCTCCTCCTCCTCCTCCACCTCCTCCTCTTCATCTTGTCATCCCATCCCTTCCACCTTCCATCCATCCCTACTCCCCCCTCCTCCTCAAGCCGTTCCTCCCCCTCCCTCGCTCCCTCCTCCGCCCTCCTCCCGTTCTTCCTTCTGCCGGTGGCCACTGGTGTCCTTCGACGCCGTCGTGCAGCAGGAGGTCCAGCAAGGGCGCGGGTCTGTAGACCCGAAGCCGGAAGGTGTCCGCGCCTCCTGGAGAGGGAGGATAGACTTAGAGCTCCAGCCGTTGCGGTGGAGGCAAAAACATGACTTTGCTTCGAGCGGTCCCAACCCCGAGAACCCGAGGCGGGGTATCCAGGGAACTCTGGTACACTTTGGGCCTGGCGGCCGCGGTATGCAGCCGACATCTGCGGAGGCACGCGCCCGGACACCCATGGAGCACTGGCAACTCTGGGCCTGGCGGCCGCGAGATAAAGGGTGCGCGAGGCAGATCGGAGCCCTTTTCTTTCGAATCTGACAAACCCCACCTGTCGGGTGGAGCACTACTGACGGGTGTACGAGCACGTATACAACCGTATACATCGTGACATGTTTAGTTACACAACGATGCATATAGAAACATATGCTAGAAACACGTACGCGCTTCGCGCGCGCTTAGGTTCTAGCAGGCTCCAAGCCGTCACGAGTTCATTGCTGCGCTGAAGGAATGGACCACATGTGGTTTGAACGGGAAGTGAACAAGTGCCCATAACGCTGAACGCATTATGGGCAATGAGTCCACGCATGTCAATCCGCATTCCTGGATGATTTCGGGGAAGATCGTTGCGTAGGGGGGCGGAGGCCTGATGAACCGGGTTCCCAGAAGGCCTTTAGGGAACATTGTTTTTGGGAGCGTCTGTGGGGGAGCCTGTTGGGGCGTGCCGTTGTCGTCGTCGTCGTCGTCGTCGTCGTCGTCGTCGTCGTCGTCTTCGTCGTTTCGTCGTCGTCGTCATCGTCGTCGTCGGATGGACCCCTCCCAGGATCCATCCAGCGCAATTTTCCAGTCCAGATCGAAGCCCTACGACCCCAGGGCCCGAGAACGGCCCCCGAAGGCAGAAAGCGCCGAACAACCGTTTCGAAAATTGAAGTTCGAAGTTCGAAGCTCGTCGCCGCCGCCGCCGCCGTCGTCGTCGTCGTCGGCAGACGTCGGCAGAGAAGGCGATCAATCATGTTCCCAGTCAACTTCCGAGACAGCTCTCCGGCAGCGTGATGGTACTTCGGAGCCTCCAGAGACTCTCAGGTCCATGATGAACCATGTCCCCGGAAGGCCTTCTGGGGACATGATTTGTTGGGGTGTGTTGGGAAGTCTCGTGGGCGTTCCCTGGATGCCCCGTGGGGGCCTCTTGGGGCTTCCTGGGGGCATCTTGGGGGCCTCACGGGGCTTATTGGGAGCCTCTTGGTGGCCTCTGGGAGCCTACTGGGGGCCTCTAGGGCCAGAGACCGCAGATTATCAGTTCGCCTGGCCTTGGCCTGGCCTTTTCGGGGCGGGCCCTGGCCTTCTCGGGAGCTCTGGGACCCCCGCAGAACTCCTGTGGCGCACCCATGGAGGGTACAGGCACCCGCCTGGCCCCCCCTCGACTTGGGGCCCTATTGGGGTGCTCCAGGGCCGTCTTGGAGGCCATCTTGGGCGTCTTGGAAGCCTCTTGGGATGTCTTGGAGCCCTTTTGGGGCCGTCTTGGGGGCCTCTTGGGCCATTCTGGAGCCATCCTGGAGGCCTCTTGGGCGACCTAGGAGCGACTTTTGGAGGCTCTCGGGCCGTCGGAAGGCCGAGAAGAAGCAAAGGCCTCCTTCAAAAACCTAAGGGAAATCAATGACGTTGGCCTCTTCGGGCCTCCCTGGAGGCCCTCTTGGAGGCCTCCTGGGCCGTCTTGGGCCATTTTAGAGCCATCTTGGGCCGTCTTGGTGGGGCCTCTGGCCCGTCTGACGCCTTCGGAAGCTATCTTGGCTGCCTCTGTGGGCCGACTTGGGGCCCTTTTGGGGTGCTCCAGGGCGTCTTGGACGCTTCCTCGGGCGTCCAGAGCTTACCAGAAACGGGGGCCCTGGAGCCCCAGTCCCCTCATTGAGAGATGAGGCCGGGCCACCCCGGGGGCCTGGAACCCGGAGTGTTATCGATATATAATATATATATATATATATATATATATATATATATATATATATATATATATATATATATATGGACAGCCCCCCCAGCACCCATTCTTCGTATTTTTTCTTTCCACGTTGTCTTTCGCATCCCTTCCTCCGCCCCCAGAACTGAAGGCAGAGAGAGAGAGAGAGAGAGAAAGAGAGAGAGAGAGGGAAAGAAAGAGAGAAGGGGGGAGACTCGAGGGAGCGGCGATCCCTGTGAAATCACAATGTTTGCGAAGCCTGGGGGCACCAAGCCCTGTTATTTCATTGGGATGTTTGGGATTTCTGGGTCAAGAATCCCAGAATCTGTGTGATTTCACTGTTTTTTTTTTTTTTTTGGATTTTTTGGATTTTCAGTCCCAGAGAAAAAACAAACGACGACGGGGCTCCCCAGGACTGGAGGATTAAAAATCCCAAAAATCCAAAACATCTATAAAAAAAACGGGTTCTGGGATTCTTGACCCAGAAATCACCAAAATCCCAATGAAGTAACAGGGCTTAGTGCCCCCAGGCTTCGCAAACATTGTGATTCACAGGGATCGCCGCTCCCTCGAGTCTCTCCCTCTCTCTCTCTCTCTCTCGCTGTCCCCTTCTCTCTGTCTCCCCCCTTCTTCTTCTCCTCCTCCTCCTCCTCCTCCTTCTCTGAAGCACAAAGAGAGAGAGTGTGTGTGTGAGGGAGGGAGGGAGGGAGGGAGGGAGGGACGGAGGGAGAGAAAGAGAGAGAGAGAGAGAGAACGAGAAAACAAAGAGAGAGAGAGAGAGAGAGAGAGAGAAAAGGGGGAGACTTGAGGGAGCGGCGATCCCTGTGAAATCACAATGTTTGCGAAGCCTGGGGGCACCAAACCCTGTTAATTCATTGGGATGTTTGGAATTTCTGGGTCAAGAATCCCAGAACCCGTGTGATTTCATTTGGATTGTTTTGGATTTGTTGGATTTTCAGTCCCAGGGAGAGAACAAACGACGACGGGGCTCCCCAGGACTGGAGGATTGAACATCCCAAAAAACAAAAAACATCACAATGAAATCACAAAGGTTCTGGGATTCTTGACCCAGAAATCCCAAACATCCTAACGAAATAACAGGGTTTGGTGCCCCCAGGCTTCGCAAACATTGTGATTTCACAGGGATCGCCGCTCCCTCGAGTCTCTCCCTCTCTCTCTCTCTCTCGCTGTCCCCTTCTCTCTGTCTCCCCCCTTCTCCTCCTCCTCCTCCTTTTCCTCCTCCTGGGCACAGCCTGGGGCGCCACAGAGTCTATGGTGCCTCAGCAGGACCTCGAACGCGGCTAGGGGCGCACCTTGCAACCGCCATTAGCCGCGCCCATCGGACACAATCCGCGCCGTGCGCGGGGCCGAGGAGCACGGTGCGAGGGTCGCTAACGGCGCAACGCCGGGCAGTCCCCACTCGCACCGCGCCCCCCGTTGCCAATGACAAGGATTAGGGCTCTGGGAGCAGGCGATAACCTGCATACCTCAGAACCCTCTTGGCTAAACAGTACTCGCCCCGTCTCAATCGTTCCAGGATAAGGCGACGATCCTTCGAAAGATGACGGGGCTGGCACTCACTCGCAAGAGACACCACGCGCTGGGTGGTGCATGCAGCGCAGTGAGTGCAACAAAACACGTGGGTTTCGCCCACGAACAGCGAGGCCACACGATGATGCTTGGACCCAGCGGCCTTCAGAGAAACCTGAGCCTGCTGGATCCTTTGCTCTAAGGTGGGCGGCTCTGGCTTGACAATGATTAGGGAGGGGGCTGAACGTGCAGAGCGCTGGCGGTGCAAACAGTCTACAGATGCAATGGCCTCACCCGCCCTGGCGGCCCATTTCCCCGTAAGACTGACCATTCTCTTCTGCATCAATGTAAGCTTCTGAAACTGGGGATCGGGCCGCAGGACACGAGCACGACTGTTCGCAGCACCGTCGGCGGCATCATTTCCAAGTTTGTCTCGAAGCTTATACCTCCCCTCCGCAACCAGAACATCTGTCACGTGGGCTTTCACTTTCTTTACCTCAGGGGGGGTACCCCCCCAGTCATCGACTTTGTGCCACACGAGCTTCCAAAGACAGGCCCACGCCGCCGACGCCGACGTGGTGTCAGCAGGTCCGCGGATATTATAACCTTTCCAAACGAAATCAGAATCCGTGTGCACGACAACAGGTGGCACCGCAAATCTGAGCACTGCGAACAGGGCATACAGCTCGGCACCGTCTATGTCCTGCAGCGGGTAGGGCAGGAGACCTGTGATGGTGCAGGCGGCCGTGTCACTGTCGGCGGCCAGCGCAACAACTGCCCATGCAGCGGTCCCGCGATGTGGATAATCAGTAAACAGAGAGCCATCAATATAAAGATCCCCTGTGAGCTGTTGCGCATCCCCGTGCCATTCCACACAGGGCTCCGACGGCGTCAGCAGCACTGCCTGAGGGGCCTTGGGGAGCGGGACGAGCACACGCTCCAGCAACAGGCGCACCAGGTCATTCTGGTCCGCATGCGGGAGCATGAGTCTGATTGCATCAGGGAGTGGCTCTCCTATTGCCTCAAGCATGCTCTTGCAAACGGCGTGCCGATGCACGAGGGACCCAGGGGCCTCTTGGCATGCAAGGCAACTCGGGGAGTCAATCCATCCTTGTTGAAATTGCCGATCTTGGGGCCACTGAGCTCCAATGATAGCACTCCTGAGGTAGCCACGCTGCTGCCAAGAGAGGTTCCCCTTGGCGCTCAGGAGGTTCTTCAGAGGCCCATCCCAGAACCCAGTACGGAACTCAGGCATCTGGAGGTGCTCCGAAATCTGCAGGTTGACCCAGTGGCGCACCGCATGCGCACAGCAGTGCAGTAGGACCCTGGGGCAAATGTCCTTGAGTTTCAGCTCCAGACCATCAGGCAACTTCCAGACCAGAGGCTCAACGACGACGATCCCGACTCTGGCGAGCGTAGCGAAGAGGGCTCCCAAGGGGCCCCGAACTTGCGGCCACATTTGGTCCTTCCCAGACAAAGCCAATCTAGCAGCCTCAAGGCCATGCTCAAGTACATGGCATGGCACGCGCGACGCCCAAAGAATAGAGCTGAAAGCTTTGATAGGCTCCAGAG